GTGAGATCTGTTACTGATCTAGTATTCAAACGACAACTTAAATGTCTCCCGTTCCATTCACAGTTGAATTACTTCTCTAGAATTATCTTAGCAGTGCAAGCATGCATACTGCAATTTACTGACTAAATGATTTAGCTATCAACCTAGAATAGTAAAAGCAAAATTCATCAGTTCAAACTGTCACACTCCCAAATAGCATACAAAGGCAAAGGTAGAGAGAAATTTACTCAATGGAACCATAATAAAGGGAAATGCACCAAAGAAAGAATAGTCACCTGGATAATAAAGGGGATTTGATTAATCTAGTAGATTTCATAGAAAGTGATTACATTTACGGCATTGACAACGATCATTAAGCCATATCTTGACAACAAGAGGACCCTAGTCAGAAAGTTTACACTTCCTTAACGTGACCCACACCTACAGTCAAAGACAACCTGGATTGGTACCAGGTTTTGATTTGACGTCTTTCAACTTTTCTTCAATTTAATCCATATGCCAGCAGGGAATTGATACAGAATGGGTAACACGTGTCCTAACCAACTTAATTCACAATGCAGCTTTCACGATTTCATCGATTGTTAGGTGTGATATGAAACAAAGAGAATGACAGCACTAATACACAGACACATAATTCTTTGAGGAATATTTAACTCGTACATCTTTGGTATTATTATTCATTTACTTGTATTCTTCACAAACACTAAACAGTTGGAATTATAATACGCATGTGTCGATGCAGTACAAATTGATCAATTCAAATAAAATTTATTGTTTTATAACAGTGAACAAGTTTGAACCTACAAGCAGATGTTTAGATGTTTAACAAACAATACAGAATTCTGCACAAACATGTATTGTTTCAATTCGCTATGCTATACAACAGAACTTGTTTCAGTACTGCCGAGTTCTATATATATAATTAAAACTTTCATGTCCAATTTTAAATTGACATCCAGATTTTGTGGAACTGATAGGTTTAATAAGTTTAAATAAACCTACACTTCTGTATATCTGACTCAGAGAAACAGTTGGAAGCTTTGTAAATTGATGACATTTCTGTAGTTTTACAACTTTTACATCTTTTCAACTTTATTCCGACTTCATCTGGCATTTCTGGTCGAAAAAAGTAGTAGTTGAGCCTGCTAACCAACTCAGCTGATAAAAATCCAAAACCACAACCATTTAATACTATGCGTGTAATGTCAACATTAGTTAACGTGTCTGTATATGTAACGCAAGCTATTGGATGAAGACATTTATCGTCAGAGACCTACACTGGTAGTATTATATGGCCGGAGGCGATCGGCAGGAAGCCTTGATGGGACCTAGGTTACATGCTAGTTGGCACTCATCAGCAGGGCATATCTGCAGCCTTGAAGGAACTCATGTTACTTCTGAGTTTCGAACCCGCATCACCCAGTGCCACCTGCAGTCAGAGAGGTTACCACTGAGCTATTTAGGCTCGCGATCGCCCTCCGGAGGCTGAATAGCTCAGTGGTAACGTGTCTGACTGCAGCACTGGGTGACGCGGGTTCGAATCTCAGAAGGGACATGAGTTCCTTCAAGGTTGCAGATACGCCTTGTTGACTACTGGTGAGTGCCAACTAGCACGAAACCTAGGCCCCAACAAGGCTTCCCGTGGCCGATTGCCTCCAACCATCTTATACCAGCAATTCCTAGTGCACCAGGATGGTGATTCACCAAGAATGGTGGCCACATTCCAAACTTGACTGATGAAATTCAGTCTGCACCAAAGATAGTACTAGAAACATATTACACTAGTTACTGACTAGTGTCCAATCAAAAAAGACCTACATTATTTTTAATACCATCTACTTTTGACGGGGACATAAAGAAAAACGAAATGAACTGTTGTGCATTACAATAACTTTTGATGAGTGGTTGTATATGTCAGAATTGTCTTAAATCACCTTAAACTTGCCTCACAATGCAAAGTCACTTAGTGCATGTTGGAAGGTCGTCTGAAAGAGATGTAAGTTCAGATGTTGAAAAGAATATGTCAATAACAGTACTGCCTTAATACCAAAAAAATACAAAACACATAAGCTGAATTTCGTCTCTGATATGAAGAGGTTGGAAAAACAGCCAATAAGATGGGCATATCCCTTTTTGAGATGACACCACCTTCATCCGATGGGTACTAGGATCTGTCAATAAACAGACCGAAATGCATCACAGCATGATTTCATAAAAATTTAATAATATACATCTAACTTTTGAACTTTCTACCTCCACTAATCCATTACATTGCTCAGATATCAGTATAAAGCCATATTTTTTGATAAAAGTGTAGCAAATTTCTTTATGGCTGAGCTACGTATCAATTTCTACAGCCGACAAATGATCAACGGATGTGTGAAGGATAAACTGCCGCTTTGGGCCACCTCAATGTGTGTTTATAAATTCACTTGCTCGTGTGGAGCTAGTTATATTCGCCGCACAAAGCGCACGCTTTCCAAACGCATCTCTGAGCATTATCCGGCATGGTTAGCAAAGGGACAATGTAAGACAATTACTAGCTCAATTCTTGAGCATCTGGTGAACTCAGGCCACGTAGCTCCACCAGAATCGTCTTTCAAGATCATCTACAAAGTGAAGCCAAATGGTACAAAGGGCGTCAGGTTTAGGCTTTTGTGTATGGCGGAGGCGCTAGCAATTCATCAATACAACCCTGAACTCTGTATACAGAAAAGGTTTGTCCAGGCTCTTATTCTACCTTGGTCTTAACCTCTTCACTAATCGTTCCTTGTAAATAAAATATATTTTGATTTTTTTCTTTTCATTCTAATTTCACTTTTAGTTAGCTTTTGCTTTAATAATTATTTCACTATTATCACTCTCATATGCTCCTTTTGTATATTTTCACACCCTCTTCACACTTGTTAAATTGACACTCAAATACCTTTATTCTCACTTAATAGCAATTTTAACCGTATCAAATTTCTATCTTTGTGCCGTTGAGTACCACGTAATTTACAACTTTTACTTTTTACTTCTAAAGCCACTTCTGAGTAATTATATCAATTATGTCACCCCCTATTACTCAATAATAGACCAGTATATATTTTTGTAAGTATAAATACGATTGTACAGCCTGTGAAGATGATTTCGTCGATAAAGAAAATTTTCTTCGCTGAATCTGTCTTTTATCTTCTTCATGACTCAATGGGTATTTTCGATGATTTGTAGCAAATTTATTCGAGAATATAATGTCACCGATAATACAAACACCAGAAAATACTATTTAATGCAAAATTTCATTCAAAAAATATAACTTGTCATTAAACCACCATAGTAACGGACAACAACGCTACAATTAGCAGGGATATACAATAAAGCCACTCGAGAAAACTGACCCTGAAAACTACACATCCCAAAATATTCCACAACAGTCCGATGTCTTAAAGGAAATATACGGTTCAGTATTTTGTTTAAATTTCTTATATGTATGAATCTTTTCGGTGTTAACTGCTAGCCTGACAATGACAGATGTATTCCACTTGTATAAAACACAAAGCTTAATTGTGAATTCTAATGAAGCGGAAAGTTTCACTTTATGATATTTTAATTTCTAAGTTGAATATATTTTATTCGTAAAGCATTTTTTAATACCCTTAAGGTGTATATTTCTCTCTGCTTAAATTCATTTGTATTTCCCGCCTATTGACCAGTATGACCGGTGTTGGCTCTTAGTATGAGTGCCGGAGAACTGTCTGAAAATTTAGGTGATTTTGCTTTGTTGTGTGATGACTAGTAGTAAAATCCAGGATATGCATTTTGTGTTATTTGGCACTCGTCATTAGGATGTACCTTTATCTCTAAAGAATGATAGTGTAGTAGTCCAGCATAATCGACCAACAAGAACTAAAAACTAACTGAATTAATAAAAATAACTGACACTCGCTGCACAAGATTTGCCTCTCATCATAGCCCAGTAGCCTAGTGGATAACGCTTTGGTGCTTAAAAAGATGAGCACATGGTTCCAGTCTCAGTCGGGAAATCATTACCCACTGAGGATGTAGGTAAATCCGGGTGATGACACCCAAAACAGATGAAACGCGCATCCTTGATTCCACTAAAGCCAGTCACCATCAGCTAAAATAACAAGGTTATTAGCGATAACCGCTTTTGTGATGGTTTTACCTACAGTGATAGTAAGTGCTTTGCAATCTAATAACTTTAAAGTTCAAAAGCTGTGACATTGTGAAATATAACTATTATTTAACACCTAAGTATACCTAGTATAAAATACTTCAAAACTGATGGAGAACCATTAAAAACCAGGGATACTGGACAGTTGTTTTGCTCTAAATTGAGACACTTCAGCAGGAAGTTTTAGTTTGACCAGTGAAGTGTATCAGGTTACGTGATAGGACAAATATTCACCTATGAAATTAGCTGTCAGCTGCGCTTAATGTCGCAAATCAAAAGAATTTAAAATTTATAGGCCACTAGATTCGACCCCACTGGCGCAATGCTCAACATGCCCACCACTTAAACCGAAGTTCTTAGATGCGATCCCTGATGGATTCATGAGTACGTATTACCGAGAAGTTTGAAACTTGCACGAAACAGCTATTCAGTACGTCCTGAAGTAAGTTCATGTTCAAAAATCAGTCAACTCTCTGCGACTCAACAATTAGAAAACAGAACTCTAAGAAAAAAAGCTCAATAAATAAAGTCTGACGAAATGGCCTAGACTTGTAACCAGACAATCTTGAGTTCGAACCCCAACGGATGCGTACTGCTAAAGAATCCCAAACTAGGCTGACAAAACAGCTGTCTGGCAGTACTCCCTAGTGGTTTTCCTATGGTTTTCTAACCAATATCAGCCCATGAAGAAATCCTGACACCAGTCAAATCCCTACAAACCAACACTTGAACGTTACATAAATTTGAAAATCACAAATAAAAATTGAAATTATTACGATTAATAACCATAATCATTAGTTATTATTCTTCTGCAAACACTTACTTGGACTACTCATTGACCGACAATGACTTTGTTGTTTACGTAATGTTTTTCGTCGTTGTGAATTTTCATCACCACAATTTATAATTTCATCATTATTATTTTTTGCAGTCTTAGCAACCTGATGTTTATCACTTGCCCTTTTTTTGTAGACAACATCATTATTATTCCATGACTGTTTACCATGATCATTATTTATTGAATTTTGTTTTAAATTCCCTTGTTTATGCGTAGCGACTTTACTTTGGTTTTGATTTTGATCATTTTTAAGACTGATTATCCGATTACAATCATTTGATGTTAAGGCTGTAGTTATTTCTTGATTGATTGATTTGTCTTCTCTCTGAATGAATTGATTTTGACAGCTATCTTGTTGAGGAGTAGTTGTATAATAATAATTTTCAGTTAAGGAATGATGATGTTGACGATGATTTTGGGTGTGTTGTTGTTGTTCTTGGAGGTGGTGTTGGTGTTGAAGTGACACAGTTGATATTGATAATGATGATTGTGTAGAGCTTTCACTTGTTGTAGGACAATAAATTCCGTTAACTTCACATGATTTCTCCTCTTCTTCATCACCCTCTTCCTCCTTCTTCTCCTGTTGTTCATAACATAATATTCCAGGTGTAAATGATTCTTTAGATATGTGTAAAGGTGTTAACAGTACAGAAGACGATGATAGTGATGAAGATAATAATAAACATGAAGAATCAATAGTAGGAGATCGTGGAATAGGGGAGTCTTTCCTTCCAGCATTTAAAGATATTTCTTTAACAGCTCCACAACTACTAGTCTCTTGATCAGTGGTAATATTAGCATTAGCTTCATCGTCATTATCATCGTGAAAAATTCTAACTTCATCAATATCATTCTCATCTTCATCATCGTATGCATTAAAAGATCTTGTATCGAAGGATTTCATTGAATTCGGTGGCGGTGATGATGATGATAGTAATAATAATAATTCATTGCAATGATGATGATTATCATAATGGTTAATTAGGTTTTCTTGAGGAGATTTCATTGAACAATGTAATAATGATGAATTATTATCATCACTTTCTTTGCTTAATGGTGATGACAACAAAGTTGATGCAATAATTAATGATGATTTTGTTGATGTTGATGATGAAGTTGTTGGTGGAAATGGTGTTGTAGAGGTTGTTGTTGTTGTTGTCCCTGTGGCTATTCCACTTGTTTCTCCAGTAATAGTTGTTATGGTTGGTGTTATTCCACTACCGACAGTTGGAAATAAATAATCTTGAACTTGAGAGTTAGTCATAAGTGTAGTTAACATCCATCCATTATTATATATGTGTATGTATATGGTATTTATTGTATAAAGAGAGAAAGGTTAATTGAGTACATCTCTCAATTTCAATGTCATCATAATCCATTTTTCTTTTTTAAATTTTGTTTGTTACTCTTTATGAATAATCCAAATGTTTGAATTGAAATAAATTGACATTAAATAATCGTAGAAAGAATAAATCTGAAATAAAAAGAGAATATGATTGAAACGCCTTGTCACAGAGTTGAAATAAAAACTGATAGTCTTTGGTAGATGGTGATTACCAGAGGAATCCAGTATGAGTATTTCGTCCCATCTAGGCCTCATCAGCCAGATGTCCATGCATCCTCAGTGATGTTTGAAATGATATATTACTAGGTCTGAATCTCAATTGGAACACCATCACTCACTCATTGGAGAATGCAGGGACATCCCAATGAAGAGTCGCAAATAGGACGAAATACACACACGTTGAATTCCACTTCTGGTCGCCATCCATCAATATAACATGATGTTAATCTCTTGTGCGTCGGTGGCACAGTGGTTAAGACGCTCGCCGACCATGCACATGGTCCGGGGTTCGATACCCGGCCGACACACCCCTTTACCTCGCTAAGCCAGCAATAGAACTGGCGAAGAGGGAAGGTTGGGCATGAGGCTAGCAACCCCATCCTGTAAAAATAAACACTGCTAGAGAAACTTCAAGCCACTAGCTTGGAGCCCTATGTTCCCCTGGGAACGTGAAGGAATAAAAAAATCTTTACACACTGTCGAAGCATCTATACTACAAGCCGACACATCTCAATGCAGATCAAAGATCTCGGTTCAACATAACCAATCAACAGGAAATACAAAATTCACTTAAAGAAATGAAATAGAAACTGCTCATAGATATAATTATGTATCAATAGTACATATGTAACAACAGAAGACAAGGGCCAGGCAACAGATCGTTTATTAGGGAAATCAAAGCATATTCATATATTTTCATGTACATTATTAAAGATTATTTAAGCAAACAAACACAGTCTTCTGATTGGTTGTTTCTCACTTAAAGTTAACCTTACATCTTTTTGTGACTGTTTCTTGAATGTCAGATCATATATATGTTAACTGTATCCACCTACGCAAAGTCTGCTGTGGTCGGTTTTGAATCAGTCTTTATTCATATTTTCTCACGACCAATATTCAGAACGTAAACATTGACGTCAATTACTGTCTACCAATTTGGCTAGTAGACAGCTCTCACCACACATACATTGGTTTTATGCTCTTGTCAGGTATGCACGTGTTCTTGGTTTAATTCCCAACGGATGTATTCCTAATTCTGGCCTACTTTACTAACCAATAGTAAACCAAGAAAAGAGAGATAGTGTTGACAGTGAGTGTTGCGATATCACTACCTCGTAAAATAATAATAATATCAACCATTGCTACTGAAACTTATACACTCTCCAGATAGTTTTTAATTATCAGAAATTTTTTTAATTACGAGACATTCTCATATATAGTAAGTGGATTGTTTCATTTTTTTTTGAGTGGATGTCATTCTTAAATTAGAAGACTACAACACAATGGATATATATAGAATAGTACTCCATAATATATCATTTCTTTTAACTAAAAAGAAATGATTGTGATGGTGATGATGATGACGAAAGCAGTAAGATCCTGTCATTACAGCTAAAGGAAAAAGTTTTAATCTCCCGTCTATAAAATCTGTATGCCTCTAACTGACATATCACAGAAGATACGATAAAAGTTTCTACAGGGAATTTATAGTATCAAAGAAAGCCTTCAATAAAAAACGCTGATTACCAGATCCTTAGAGAAAAGAGACTGTTTCCTTCTCATATGGGAATTCAATGATAATAGAATAGATTAAAGGGATTACAAAAAAAATTAACATTCTGCCTAGTGACAATGACAACTGCTCTGTGTTAGTTATCCCATAGTAAAGACATGTGTAAGAAAGTGAGGGAAAAGCGGTAGAAACAACCAACACATACATAGATGACAAAAGAATGAGTGCAAAGTAAGATAATTTTTTTAAAAAAAACTTGCTGTGAATTCTCAGTTAGTTTTAATCATACAACGTCATAATCACTTCAGTGTGTTTTTTTTCTCTCACAAATCTGCGTATTATAAAAATTAAAACCACAACCATTCTTCTAGTTTTGTACCGCTTCAGTTTGATTTTAGTTTAAATTTTAAAGTGTGAACAAACTTGTTTATCAATTTTGTGCAGGAAAAAGAAGAAATTAAGAGTAACAATAATACCTTCTGTGCGTCGGTGGCACAGTGGTAGAATGCTTGCTAACCACGCAGGTGGTTTGGGGTTCGATCCCCAGTCGATGGACTCCTTTACCTGGTAAAGAGGGAAGGTTGGGTGAACATGAGGCTAACAAACGCATCCCGTAAAAATAAATACCACTGCCCTATGTTCCACTGGGAACGTAAAAGGAATAAAACAAAATAATAATACGATATAATAATAATAATAATTTGCTTTATTCCAGAAACAGTACTAGTGGCACAGTACATATCTACAGCACATATCAGCACATATCTACAACATTTGCATCTAATTTTATCAAACATTTAAAAGGAGTATTTCAAAAAAAAACAAATATAAAGACAACAACAACAAAAAAACACAAAAATAATTTTTAAAAATGAGAAAAATTACCAAGAAGTAGAAAGGAAAATAAACAATATAAAATAATACCTCAGTATTGGGTAGTGTAAGCTATGATATGATTATGCATGGTGACAATAAAGCTGTAGTCATACAAGAAGTTATGAAATGATATTTAAGAATGCTTATCGCCAAGATGATCAGTTAATTTGGTTGAAACAACACTAAACAATCATAAAATAACATTTCAGGGTTGTTGTTTTTTATTGTCAAGATTGTTTATGCCATTAAAATTATAAAATCTTTTTTTAATGACTTCTATTTACAGTAATTTCAGCAATACAACTGCCTTATTCACAATGAAATAACCCGTTTTACTGACTTCCTGTTACTCATTTTTCGCCAGTGCCTAGCAGTACTACACAGGATATGCGTATTGTCTTGTCTGGAACTCGTTGGCGAGACTCCGTTTAAACAGCATATACGCTAAAATGAATATTGATTAATTTGGTCCAGATATATCAACGGGAGATTGCAGACATGAGCACAAATGAGAAATAGCCTTGTAAGGACTGTACTATCTCAAAACTTTCAACGAATCAAATCTAGCCTAATAAATAATTGTCATTTTCACATTTATTAATTGTTCCTGTTACTGGTTTTCAATGAAAATCTATCTTATTCCTTTTTATAATGGTTTTGTAGAATTAGATTACTTACATTTTGTAACACTGAGATTTAGGTATGTTAGTTAACTTTCAGATCAATTCAGATTATATTAAGTTATCATCAAAGTACAAACCGACAGCTGCTACTTGCATATCTCAACGAACTATCGTGTTACACTGGCTGAAACGAATGTTCCTGGGGACCCTACTATATCGTAGATGTCAAATCGATAGTGGTTAGACAAAAAGCAGTTACCATCATAACATCTGACAGAGAATAGAGACATAACAGCTATAAGACGCTCCTCTCAGACAACCAGTAAGCCACTTATACTGCTTCTTCACCCTAGAGATAAGGGTTAGAAAGGTCAACTCCAAAAATGGTATACTCTTATTTATCCTGTGGTGGTCGACAGTTGATGTTAAGGTCTTTATATTAGCACAGCTTTTTAACCAAATACTGAACAAGCTACAATAGCCTAACCGTGTTAGCCATAATCACATTTACTGAAAATAGGATAAATTAGATATATGTATTTGTGTGTGTGTGGGTGTATTTCAACTTAATTCTCTATCTATCATTTCTCTTTCCCTATTCTCTCCATCTTTATCTAGATAAGTTATTATTTTCGGTTATATCGATTTCGCCTACATTGTTTTAAGCAGAGTAGGACTAAATTGGGGGGAAAAAAGATGAATGTTTATCAGACGGAAACATGATACTATTCATCCACAAGAGGAGTAATTGTTGCTTAAAGCCAAATGAGGATGTCTACATTAACTGGTTGACGTTAATGCGGCCAGAAACAGACACACGTATGTACATTAGTTAGAAACATTAGGCAATACTACTCAGAATAGGTTTTTAGTGATATCAGTGCATTCGTATTTTATCTTGACACTACTTGTAATATAATGCCTATTCAACATCTTTACGTTTTCTTAAAATGTTTTATATTTTGTATGTCATTCCACCTGACATGCATATATATATATATATGATGTGTGATGGTTAAGATGAATAGGTAGTATTTTCAAAATGTATGTTGGTGATATGTCTGTTTGTCTATCTACTTGTCTGTCCACCTATTTACATATCTTAGTGTTATGAATTTTGCTTTTACTTGAATTTTTCAAGAGGCTATAAACAAAAATGCTACTTTGTTTCAAATTCAATGTAAGTAGTGATTTACAACGGAAAACCTTTGAAATGAAGCCATGACTGATTATAGTCTGTCTGTCTGTTTTTGACATAGAACTTTGCACATATGTGCGCCAGTTCAAGTCGCCACACTCACTCCTTGTAGCACACAAAGCAAGAGAAGAAAGTAGGAGAAATGCATAATATAGTCAGTAAACAGAGGTGTGAGACAAAGGAATAGTAATAACGAAGAACAAAACAGTTTAATTGGAAATCATAATTCACAAGGAGTGGATGCATCTGCGCCAGCCATTGAGAACGATTTTGAGCCATGTCACCAATTGTTTACAACCATTGGATTTTACCGTCCCGAGGACCCCAACCAGGAAGTCTACACCTTCCTACGTGGCCTAGACTAACTGTTGTAGACTTCATTGACTGGTGCCATGTTTTGGTTTGACGGCCGCTAGCTCTTTTCCAGCCTGACCCTATATCAGCTAACATTGCCCGTCGAGGAAGGCGATGGCTAGGCATGCATGCGTAGCACATGTCCTAACCATCTCAGTCGATGTAATTTCACAGTCTCGTCGATTGATTTCCCCTCCTTACCTAGCACTCGACTCACGCCTAACCTCAATATCGCTCACCTTATTATACCACTTCACACAGGAGATAGAACGCAGACACCTATGATGTCTTCCACTCTTAATGACCAGGTCTCACAGCCATAAAGGAGGACAGAGTGGACTGGTGA